AGTCTGGTGGCATAAGGTATTCTGCAACGAGTAGGAGTGGAGAACTCTTCTTGTGAAATATTTGTGGACTTCCTCAACTGTGTTAATATCAGATATATTATATATAACTGAATATAATATCAGATATTATACTCCTTATAAGATGAAGCCAAGCAAAAGAGGACTTCTCGTTCAATGGAGAAGTTGCATTTGCAGTAGGTGTAGTTTGCAAAAGAAATGCCTACTTGTGTACATCTTGTTGAAGAAAAAGCAAAGCTTCTTTTCAAGAAAAGGGAACCCTAGATGCTGTTTCCAGCATTCAGAAAGGAAACAAGTTTTCTAGTAAACTCAAGATATCCAACTTTAGCATGTCTGGTTGGGGAATTGTGGGAGTTGATGTCCACAAGTCTTAAAGTTGCCAGGTTGGAATACCCCTGTTTTAGGGACTTTATTCTTTCGGCTAAGCCAGAAAACCGAACCACTGTTGTTATGGGTGTCACATTTGGATCAATTGTGCAAACTTCTTCCTCTTCTTGGGCAGTCCCAGTATCCGCACCTTCCCTCCACACCACAGGTCTCCAAACTTGGCAACTTTGAGACTTATGGGCTTCAACTACCAGAATTCTGGCAGTTGAAGTCCACAAGTTTTAAAGTTGCCATGTTTGGGGACACACTCTCAAATTCTGTGATCTGACCCCGTTTCAGAATCTGAATACCTTGATGGAAGTCCCATCTACGGTATAGTTGTATAATATAAGTCCAAAAGTACAGCTATATACCTAAATAATTTTTTTTTTACATGTCTCTTGTTACATGTGCTTTGCAGTCTTCCATGGGTACCTGGATGCAATTCCCAAAATTTAATCTTAGCCTTGAGAAATGGGATTTTGGAGAAGGGAGGGGCAACCCCAAACCATTTGGGGAGCTTCCAGATGGAGACAGGGTGGACATCAGCTCTCATGAGCCACAACTCCATGGAGGCTGTGGATTATGGAAGCAGAAGTCCCCACAACGATTTAATGCTGAATTGACCTAAAATCAGCCTTGTCAGAACTACCCTTTGCTAGAAGTAGGCAGCCTCCCCTGGTGGTTCTTGGTGGAACTGCAGTTACAGTTGTCTCCAGCTTTCACTGTATGTGGAATACACCGGAATAATAATTGTTTACAATCCTGGCTGTGTTTATTTTCTTTTTTTAGCTCAGTATACAGAGAGTATAGACTTATGACCATAACTGGGACCAGATTTTTTTTATTGCTAAGCAAGGGGGTTGTTAAAAAAAATCCTGCCCCATTTTTATTTATTTTTTTGGCCAGTTGCTAAGTGAACTGTGAAGTCCTTAAGTGAAACCCACTTTTTTAAGACAGTCACCTCTCGTGTTAGATGTACAGGCAGTCCTCAACTTATGACCGCAATTGTGCCCAAAATTTCTGTTGCTAAGCAAGACAGTTAAGTGAGTTTTGTCCCATTTAAAAAACAGTCATTCAATGAATCACTGCAGTTGTGAAGGTTGACTTCGCCTGTCAAGTCACCAAAAAAATTGATCACATGACCCCCGGGACACTGCGACCGTCATAAATAGGAGCCAGATTGCCAAGTGTTTGAATTTTGATCACATGAACGGGGATGCTACAAGGGTCGTAAGTGTGGGAAACAGTCGTAAGTCACCTTTTTCAGTCCCATCGTAATTCAAACGGTCACTAAATAGTTGTTAAGTTAAGGGCTACTTATAATCTTTTCCCTGACCTTCAGGATCAAAACTTAATATAATTTAAAAAAATACCAGACTGTGCGGAAATGGATAGGTTAACATTAAAGAAAAAGGATAAAGAAAATACAGAATATTTTTTAACATGGGAGTTGGTTTATCAATGTTAGATAATAGAGGTAGAAATCAGAAGTTGGAAGAATACCACTATGTACAAGCAAAGAATATTATTACTATTATTATGTATATCTAAATTGACCCAGACAGTATACTGTTTATTAAGCGCTTACATATACTAAAGAAAAATGTATACATTTTCTTTTTTTAAAAGAATCAAAACTTGGTTGAAAGGGAAGGGAAAAGGGGACCTTCCTTTTCATTTCATAGGTTCACATACACAGACATCACAAAATTGGCAGTCCAAGCTATAGTTTATTATTCATCCTTTATTGTTTTTAATATTTCATTTTAAAAGTTTTATAGAAAAAGCATCTTATAAAAAGCAAAAAAAATACATTGTATCAATGGTGCATAAAAACAAGCTGCAGGTGTAATATATTATTTACACAATTTCATTGCTTCTATATAAATTAAAAAAAAAAAACTTGTCCCTGATCGTTATTTACAAGACATATATTAATCATCATTAATAATACTTTGCCCATCAACAAGTCCTTCCAGAGAAGCTACAAATATTTAAAATAATAATAATAACAATAATTAAACTGTTCCCACTTATCCCTCTTTATAACATCATTCTTTGAGGTAGGTTAAGTATTATTTCTGTGGCCTTGTATATAACTTGCTCGCTCTTTGCAAGGACAGAAATTGCTCTCAGGTATAAAAAGGGTTATTTTCAAATTATCAGCTCTCCCCCACCCTTTTTTTCCTCCCTTTAATTTCAAGCCCTTCCGTTGCAAACATAGTATTTGGAAATGTAGAAATAATGAGTTCAAAAGCTGAAACCATGGATAGATGAGCAATACATAACAAGCATTTACAATACAATCTTTTAAGTCTTCACCATTAACAGAAACAGGATTAGCTGACAATTCATCAAATTTGGCAATGCCAGGATCCCAAAAGGATAAATTAATTTCTGCTTGCCACTATGAGTAAAACAAATGATTTTATTTTGGGGGGGGGGGGTTAAGAGTGGGCTCTAAAAGTCATTACTAATCTTTCTTTTTTCCCCAAATCTCTTTTTTTCCTTTTTCTAAGGAATCAGGTCCAATTCTCAAGAGACTGACGGATAAGTCTCTGCAGGGTTGTTGTTGTTTTGGGCACAAAGTTTTTTGGACATGGTTTGCCATTGCCTCCTTCCTAGGACTAAGAGAAAGTGACTGGCCCAAGGTCACCACGCTGGTTTTCATGCCTAAGGTGGAACTAGAACTCACGGTCTCCCAGTTCCTAGCCTGATGCCTTAACCACTTCACCCACAAACTCTCTCTCAAAATTATTCATCGTGTCTTTTTAAATAGTAATCGCAATATTCACTGGCCAATTGCTTGCTGGATTAACAAAACCAAAAACACAGGTTTTGACCTCCTGGCAAAAGAAGGTTGTCCACCCCCTACCCCCAAGGTTCCTGATCTGTAGTTTGAGATGCCCTGATGTAGCAACTCGAAGGGGAGGCAACGAATGACTGAAACAAACATCAACAAAGAATCCCCTGCTCTGCTGATAGCAGCAGAAAGTTTTTTAAAGTTATCCTTTTTTTAAAAAATCACAGGATACACCCACATAATTCAGTCATGATTAGCCAGGTTTTGCAGAAGCAGTAAATACCTTAAGCAAAGTTGGCTAGGTGCAGAAGCCTGTTGACCTGGTTTTTCTTTCCCCTCTCGTTCTTTCCTCATTCCCCTTTGCGTTCTGCTCTAACTCTTAGATCCTGCTGAGTGCAACGTAGAAGAAACCCAGGTCTCCAGTTTTATCCCTACTATGCTGAAGTGCTAAATAATATACAATGCTAATGCTACACTTGTTTGGCACCATAGAAACAAGGCAGTGCCACCCCCATCTTTCGGCCTGGGGGCGAGGTGAAGAGGGTAACTTTTGGTAATTCCCCCCATGGAAGAGAATTGCCAAGAGTTAGCAACCAGCTGAAAGAGAATAAAAAAAAAAGTTGTTTTCTTCCCAAAGGTCCCAATGTCAGTGTAAATAAGGCCAAATTCTAGGCTTGAGGTGTATGAGGGACCAAGTTGCCACTCAGCCTCCCGCATCTTCAGGCTTTGGAGGCCCGCTTGGTGAGGCGTTTCACCAGAGTCGGGTTGGGTTTTCTGGGCACAGGTGATTTTGAGGGGATGTCAACGTAGTAGAGCACAGGCTGGTAGGTTGGGATGTAGCTGACCACACTCTGAGGGCACGGAACCCAGAGAGGAGTTGGAACGTAGAAATACTGGGTAGGCTGGAAGGAGGGAGAGAGAGAGAGAGAGAGAGGTTAAGAGGAGGAGAATGCAAAACTTTCTGAAAACTCAAAAGGCTCACAACCCATACGATCTTCTCACAAAGAAACTCAACCCAACACACTGGGACAACCTGAATCAAATCAAGTCTAGCCTAATAATTAAGATAACATGCTTCCAGGCGAGTTGAACTCAAGCTCCCAGGGTTTCTGTGGAAGTGGTTTGTTATCAAGTCCCACCAAAGCTTACTTCTTCCAGTTCAGCTTGAAAACTCTGGAATTTCCCAGTGATTCATTATCAAAATACTGACCAAGTTATCCTGGTTTGACTTGCAGCTAACTAGGTAAACATGGGGGTAAGCCAAAATCAGGTCCAGGTTCCAACTAAACCAAGACTTGTGGGCTTCCACTTCCAGAATTCCCCAGCCAGCTAAGAAATTCCGGGAGTTGATGTCCACAAGTCTTAAAAAGTTACGAAATGTGGAGACCCTTGAACTAAACCAATATTCCCCCTTTTTATCTCAATTTGGTGCCCTGCTCTTATGCAGGCCAATATTATTGACAGCTGTGGCATTTTAAGTCTCACAGTCTACAGAAGGTTTTCCCAGGCTTTGCCTACGTGCTGCCTTTGAGCCACAAATACAGCACCTTCCCTGCCTCCCAGTCGGCTCGCTCCAAGGAATTTGCATCTTATCAACCAAAGGTTGTAACGGCAGCACGAACCACACACAGCGAGCTGAACTTTGCTTTGCTGGATTAGGAGCAATATGCCCCGAGCTCCCTTTGAAAATTCAAACAAGGGTGGGAGAAAATGCCACAATCTTCTTAACTGAGAGATAAAAGGCTTCAAGGGCATCCCTCCCCCCATTTTAGATTGCAGAAGCAAATCCAAAGAAGCTACTTTTTTGTGTGTTTTTTTTTAAAGCTCAACACAACAACAACAAACGCCCAACTCCAGGCATTGTCCTTGAGGTCTCTCACCGGTGTGGGACTGTGTTTCAAAGCTGGCCGACTTTTGCCCAGATATGTTGTCTTAGGAAGCTTGACCAGGCTTTCATCTTCTGAATTCTCAGAGGGGGATTCTGAGTGATAGTCAGACGTCTCTGGCTCTGGTGTTGATTTCCCACTGGTGTTCTGCTCATCCTTCACCGTGAAGTACTGGTTGTTCTCACCAAGCCTGGAGGAGCAGAACAGACAGAGCGGTGCTCAGCCTATATCAGGGGTCTGCAACCTTAAACACTCAAAAGAGCCATTTGGAACCGTTTCCCACAGAAAAAAAAAACACCGGGAGCCTCAAAACCTGGGTGAGCGTGGCCAACTCCATGTCATTCCCACCCAGTCACATGACAGCCCCCCCCCCCCCGCCCGCCACGCCTATCCAGGTTTTGTGGCTCCCGGTGTTTTCTGTGGAAAATGGATCTCCCTCCCTCCCATTTCTGGGTTTGTTTGTTTTTTTGCATTTTACCTTCTCAGGCCAGGTGAGGAATGACTAGGAGGGCGAGGGATATGGCCAGCCAGGGAGTCACAGCAGAGGGCCCAAAGAGCCGCATGCGGCTCCAGAGCCACAGGTTGCTGACACTTGGCCTATATTATCCATCCATCAACAGGCTAAAATTCAGCAGGTGCTCTGATTTGGGAGTTGGCTGGTTGCCTTGTGAAGGCAGCCCCCCCCTTTTCTGATGCCTCAGGAGATGATCACAAGAGGCTGCTATGAAGAAGAGGGGGGCCAGACTATTCTCCAAAGCACCAGAAGGCAGGACAAGAAACAATGGATGGAAACTAATCAAGGAGAGAAGCAACCTAGAACTTAAAGGAGAAATGTCCTCACAGTGAGAACAATTAATCAGGAGGTCTTGTCTCCAGAAGTTGTGGAGGTTTTTCATAAAAAGATGGGAGAATGATTTGTGTGAAATGATATTTCCTGCTTGAGCAGGGTATGGGTGGGTGGGGGTTGGACTAGAAGATCTCCAAGGTCCCTTGTCCCAAAGGTGCTTTTTCCAAGAAGCAACTAGACTTTCTGGTTTTTCTTTGAAAATGTTTTGCTTCTCATCCCAAGAAAGCTTCTTCAGCTCTGACTGGATGGTGGGGAATGGAAGCTCTGAAGAAGCTTCTTGGATGGGAAGCGAAAAGTAAACCAGAAAGTTGAATGGCAACTTGACTTTCTGGGTTTTTGTTTCTTTAAAGATGTTTCGCTTCTCATCCAAGACGCTTCTTCAGAAGCAAAACATCATCAAAGGGAAAAAAAATACCCAGAAAGTCCAGTTGCCTCTTAATAAAGCACCTTTGGGACAACCATGACCTGGATTGTTTTATTTAGTTTCCAAGTATGATTTACGTTGGTTGTTTATTTAGTATCCTACGACTATCATTAAGTGTTGTATCTTATGATTTATGAGCAATGTATTTTTATGTTGACTATGATAATGATTTATCACTTACAGCTTTTATGGACACCGAGAGCTTACGCACTGAAGACAAATTCCTTGTGTGTCCAATAAAGAATTATATTATCCACATATTCTATATTCTGTTAGGCACAGGTGAAATGACAGGACGGAACCTGACATACTGACCTGCAGCAAACTTCACCAGGATCAATCCAGATGGAAATTTCTTTGGGCAGTGCTAATTCTGAATAATCCAGACCGCCGGCCTTACAGGCCTTTAGGAGGGAATCATCAACAGGCTGCTTTCTATTGATCCGGATGCATCTGGGAAAAAGGAAGACGAAGATTCAGAAAAGGTTTTCATTTCCAGATTTCATTTCCTAGTATGACCGTTAGATTGAAAGGAAGGAACCATATCACAAAACAAACACATTTTTTTTAAAAAAAAAATGCATTATTTACTTTTATTCAGTTTGGTTGTTTTAAAGAATTCAGTCTTCCACAAGAGAGTGGTGCAAATAAAGCCACAATCGTACCAAAGTGCCATGATACCATTGGGCAAATTTGTATAATCGGGATGTAAATGGTGTCACTCACGCCCGAGCTGCCAAACGCCAAGGACGCATAAGTGTCCTTGGAGATTCTCAGTCAACCAGGTCATGGTTCTCCCAACGGTGTGTTTTTTCCCCCAAAAAGGCACCTGGGCTTTGTTTTTCCTTGAAGACGTTTCACTTCTCATCCAAGAAGCTTCTTCAGTTCCAACTCCATAACTCTGAGAAAGAGTGCGAATGGCCAGAGGACTGCAAGGAATATAAATCCTTCCATTCTCCACCATTCAGTCAGAACTGAAGCTTCTTGGATAAAGAAACAAAACATCTTCAAGAAAAAAACAAAGTCCAGTTGCCTTTTGAAAAAGCACCTTGGAGAGATTTAATCAAAGCACCTGATCTTTTTAAGACTCACACCTAAAGCTGGGATTTAGAATAGAATAGAATAACAGAGTTGGAAGGGTCCTTGGAGGTCTTCTAGTCCAACCTCCTCACTCAGGCAGGAAACCCTATACCATTTCAAATAGTTATCCAATCTCTTCTTTAAAAACCCCAGTGTTGGAACATCTACAACTTTTGGAGGCTTCAAAGGGTCACCTCAATGAAGATAGGAGGTGCTGAGTCACACATTTGTTTTGGAATCAACACTGCTTCTTCCTCAATTGCTTGGGTGCTCAAGGCTGGCATTGACACAATAAAAACAATGTTGTTTAAAAGCAGAGCCTATCTACACTCTGCCACAACAAGTTCCAGGCGGGGCACAGCAAACACAAATTGTGGTGTGACCGGCTAATAACTGCCTGAGTAGCTAAACTAGTATACAAACTGTGCCTATCAGTTAGGCAAAATAGCCTTGAGATGGTACAATACAGTTATTTTACAGCTGGCTCTGCAAACAAACCATTTTAAAACAGGCATTTTTGCTTGCTGTTTGCACTTTTGCTTGTTGCTTCACAGTGTACTTAAAAATGGCTGGGTGGGGGCCGAGGAGTGGGCTTGTGCTGCAGAACAGGAAGTGTTCCCCCCACACACGGAGAATTAATGGCCCATCTCCAACAATTTATATTGACTGTTTCCTAGTATGATTTGATTGTTGATTATACGCTATGACTATCCTTAAGTGTTGTACCTGATGATTCTTGACTCTTGACAAATGTATCTTTTCTTTTGTGAACACTGAGAGCATTTGCACCAAAGACAAATTCCTTGTGTGTCCAATCACACTTGGTCATTAAAGAATTCTATTCTATTTAAAAATCCAAGTTCCTGGTACTCGTGACTTAAGAGATAGGTTTTAACATTTCATGTGCAGGCAGGCCTCGACTTACAACCAAGTGCTCAGTGACCATTCAAAAGTTACTCTGCCTTCCCCCAAAAGTTACTTACACCCCAGTTCCAAAGTTCCAATGAATGCACACAAACCCACAATCACATGATTGCATTTCAGGTGCTTGGCAAGGGGCTCACCTTTATGGCCAAATTGCAGAGCTCCAGGTCATGTGACCATAATTTGTGACCTTTTTTGGAGGCCACTTTCCAGCCTTTTCTAGCAAAAAAAAAATGCCCATAGGTACACTGATTTGGTAAAACGACCACAGAGGTCACTTAATAACCACCCAAAATTAAATCAGGTCCAGTTATTGACTTATAACCGTCATGACTTACAAGGGAAATTGCATGCTCCATTATGGCCATAAGTCAAGGACCACCTGTGGTTCATCTACTATGCTATAGGGTCTCCTGCTTGAGCAAGGGGTTGGACTAGAAGACATCCAAGGTCCCTTCCAACTCTGTTTAATTCTGTTATGGTGGGAAGGCCCAGGGGGGTGGATTATCCAGGTTCATTCAACAATTCATTCAAACACGTTAGATTAGAGCTCTGTGTAATGCCTGAAACCGTGTCCTAAAAGGGCCCATCGAAGGCTATGGTCCCCTCTCTAAACTGAGACAACAGAAGATCAGAGGAAAAAGCCATCCAATAGATGGACTTTAGGTTGTATCTTCTCAATATGAAGCTTTGTTTCCCCCATAAATCCAGATCCATTGAGAAAGAGGATCATAGGAACCAAGCGGGCCAGGCCTGAACGTTATCTGTTGACCAACATGGCTAAACTACATCCTTATCCAGCTTCTAAAAGTTTTTTTCTATCCAACCCCTTATCTTTTATGGCAATGTTTTTCCACCTTGGCCACTTTATGAGGTGTGGACTTCAACTCCCAGAATTCCCCAGCCAACCATGGCTGGCTGGGGAATTCTGGGAGTTGAAGTCCACATGTCTTCAAGCCGCCCAGCATAGAAAAAAAAGCCCATCATTTTCTAGTAACCCTGATTGGGCTATTTTTGTTCAGACAACTGGCTTGAATCCTAGACTAAAGTGTCTAGGATTTTTAACGGCCTTGGCGGAAGTAAGTTGTGACATAAATATTATTAAAAATCTTAAGCTGCTTGGGGAAGCTTAAGGGGCTGCTTTTGGCTTCTCAAAAACAAACACCAAACTCTGAAGAGAGCTGCTTGGATAAACGGAAGTTTCACCATCTTCCTGTCAGAACTAGGGTAAATGTAACAAGAAGGCGAAAACCAGCAACCACTTCCATTTCCTCAGTTTCAGCACACCACAATCTTGTTGACCGACAGAGGCCGTGAAATCACATTTCATCTTGACTAACATAACAGTGTTAAGTGAGAAACCTCAACCGAAGGCCCCAAATCACTTTGGTGCCATTACAAAAGCGTAATGATTAATTTAATAAAAAAAATTAATCAAAGAGAGTCAGTTTGGCCTAATGGTGAAAGAACCAGGCTCGAAACCAGGAGATGGTGAATTCTAGTTGCAGACTTAGGCATGAAAGCCAGATGGGTGACATTGGACCATTCTCCCTCTCTCTCTATAAACCAGGGGTGTCCAACCTTGGCAACTTTAAGCCTGGAGGACTTCAACTCCCAGAATTCCCCAGCCAGCAAAGCTGGCTGGGGA